TATATATATAAAAATTAAAATACTTATTTTTAAAATCAAATTCATATTGTCTATAAAATAAGATTAAATTTTATGAATTTATATTTTGGAAATACAGTAAATTTAGACACATTAACTGATTATTTATAATACATTTTATAACAATTAAAATAATTCCAGAAATGTACAATTTCTAAAATTGTAAAAAAAATATATATATATATATTGTTTTATGAGCAAATTCATAATTTGTTTTCGTACAAAACTAATTTCAAGCGTTTAAGCCTATACATCGAATTGTTTTTTTAGAGCATGTGAAACAAATTTTGCCAAAATGTCCAAACTTTTGCCTGGTAGTGCACATTGTATTAGCTTACCTTTGTGATGCTGTTTTTTGCTGACCAGTGCTTTGTGCTGCTTGATGAAGTATGATGGCATCGCTGGCTAAACTGCGTCCAGTGGCAAACGTAACGCTCTCAGGAACGCCAGTGGAAGTCTGTCTTATGTGCGAGATGTTGTCTCATGTATCCTGGGAGGAATGATGAACCTGGGCGAGACAGTTCTCTCATTAAAACACTCTGTGTATGGTGTTGCCATGGTGGGGAGAGGAAACATGGCAGATAACCGGACATGAAGATCTCTAGATACTTCTGTTTCAGGGAGGGTGATTTGCGTAAATGGGAATACAAATGTGGAGACGAGGAACCTGTTTCCACCTAAGAGGGGTTCACAGAGGATGCGAATCACTTTCTCACATCCAGTGCAAAGTAAATGAACTAACAGTGTTTGCTCCAGATGTTGTACATTACCTATACTAACATCTACAGTAATTACACAGATCGACTAACCATGTAGACATGTTTTTCTGCCAGATTCGTGTCTGAAAGTGTTATGACCCTTCTTCTCAGGATTTTTCTAGTTTTTGTGTGAATTATATCAATGCTACATGATATCAAAATGACTCTGATGATATCAATTCTTCACTGAATATCCACCAGATTTGAAATCAAATTATAAGATGAAGGGAACATGTCGAAAGTCTTTAGGGGACCCCTAATGATGTCGAACGTGACCAACAGAAAGGGAAATATATTGCTTTGCCCTGCACAACTTCTACCAAGGATGGGATGGTGGTCATGCATAACAGTGATTTCACCCCTGTTGCTCATTTCTAACTGATGGTTACAGTCACTTTGTGCTACAACAGTCCCAAATCTTGTTCTGTTTATCAGTAAAACACATAATCATCTTCATACCGAGACACATTCACCTGATAAACAAGAAAACTGTGTAAGATATCACGACTTGTTTCCAGAGAATATTTCTTTCCCACTTAAATTGACTTATATTCAATATAGCCATGCTGTACATTCCCTGAAATGATACTTTGATAAAAAAGAAAAGAGAACATTTCTGACTAATACATTTGGGATTCTTATTGATTCTACACTAAAATGATTTTTCAAAGTTGTAAATGAACAAAGATTATTGGAGCACTTTTTATAAGAATATACTATTTTAGTGTTTCTACTTAAAAACGTTTAATTCAGCATGTTACTTGCTTTCTAATTAATTGTGAAATTTACTGAGCAAAAATTGTTTGTACACCAATAATCATTTTGTATTCTTTAGTATATACAGTATATATTGTTCAAAAGTTTGAAGTTGGTAATTTTTTTTTCTTTTGATGTTTTTGAAAGAACTCTATTATACTCACCAAGGCTTCATTTATTTGATCAAAAATACAATAGAAACAGTAATATTGTAAAAATATTATTATGGCTATTTTCTATGAATATTTTTTAAAATGTGATGTATTTCTGTGATGCAAAGCTGAATTTTCAGCATCATTACTCCAGTCTTCAATGTCACGTGATCTTTCATAAATCATTTGAATATGCTGATTTGCTGCTCAAGACATATTTCTTATTATGTTGAAACTGCAATAGAGTAATTTTTTTAAATGAATTTAATGCATCCTTGCTGAATGGAAGTATCTTTTAAAAAGTGCCCTCAAATTTTTGAACGGTGCATATGGACTCAAATGTATTCCAAATACATTCTCAGACTTTTGGACCCGATTGCATGTGAAGATTCGTCCAAGAGAAAATGGTGAACTAATGCAGCTAGCAATCTAACCTAGCAACATTGACCTGAGACGGGGTGACTCATGCAAGTCCAGCAGCTCAGTCTTTTCATTCCGAGCTCTTTAAATGGTTCTGCTGGACCCCTGTGGGTCTCTAATCAGGCGATATTATCCAATTTCCAGCTGCATAAATCTTATATGTGACCACAACTAGCTTGGAGTCTGTTTTGGAAGGATCGTTTAGTTCCTGGATTTCTTCCTGTTTTCCTTTGGCAGTAGTTCAGTCGTATTTGCTGTAAATCTGTCCTGCCAGCACATCAGTCACTCTGCCAAGTCAAACAGCCCTATATGGCTATAGAAGAGCTCGCAGCACAACAGGACTGGCAGTCTTCAAAACGCCTGTTATTAATGTAATTATGAGCAGAACAACTGACTTAAAAACTCTACATGTATGAACAAAAGATAATGATGCCTCAATTTGAATTTAGTGTTAGATAATGGAGAAGAGGAAACAATGGAATACCCTAGTAGTGCACTAGTAAAGTACAGTGCTAGTGTAGAACGACACGGTGCATTAGCCATTTTCTTATGTATCTATCCTGCAGGATAAAATCAGAAGTAAAAGGTTTGCTGAAAAGACAACAAACACTGCTTAGTTGTGGTCTGCTCCCCTTGTTTTTAATCACCAAATGCAGTTTGAAACGGGAGAGATGCAGTTCTGTTGGGTTAACCAGCATAGTGAATCACACCCTGTTTATGACTATAGGTACATGAGTGCATAATAAATCAGACTCAAGGAGTTTTGGATCAAAGACCCCCTTGAGAATGGATGCACAGGTGCTGCAATGTACATCACTGAATGTGGAAAAACTACCAAGAAAAGAACAACAGATATCTCTCAAATCTCTCAGTTTATAGAGTAGAACTGCTAGCCACAATATAGGGGTTATAGTGCATAGAAGAAAATATCAAAAATAATGTTGTAGTTTCATCAGAAAGTTTGTCGGCACGCACAAGTAAATGAGGAAAATTCATGTAGACTTGCTATTTTAAATGAAATATATCAAACAACAACCAGATTACACAACAAAGGACATGTGATAATGGAATGTTATGCATATGAAAAGGAAAGAAATTAATTAAAAGACATATTTGAAAAAATCAAACTAAACTTTACTTTTAAAAACATCCTTGAAGCTGCATTGAGGAAAATATATGCACAGTTTATTACATTTTTTTTGAAAGAAACAGGTCTGATGGAGTAAATATAAAGTCTTGTGGTTTATTATTATTTTCTTTTTTTCCTGCCAGATCTTCAGATCCACACTCCAGAACACTATTTTAAAGACAACAGAACTTTTTTAAAAGAATTTAGTTCAAATTCTCTCCCTCCATTTGTTTTAGTCCACACTGATGCTCTATACTCCATCTCAGTAGGTGGCAGAAATGCACAATAGCAACCACCACTAAATTGAAAGAAGAAGTAGTTTGGCGGGATTTTTTTGGCGGAAAAAAAAACGTTCACGCGCTAAAGCGAATCCAAGCATAACTCTGAAGTTATCAGGATGTGGGTGTTGTTTGGTTTCATGATCATGCTGATACTTGCCGTAGGTAAGACGTGATTTATATTGTTTAATTGTTTCGATTTGCAAGTTGAATCATGCCTCGGCTGTCTGGGTACACGAGTTTCAAAAACGAGTGAGACGAGTGACTACATAAGCTAAATCCTTTAAGAGCCAAATAAATGACTGATGTGATATGCTCCTAGCGAATAGCGCTTGTCTTGTGAACCACAGGAGAGGCTAAATAGTTGATTCTAATGATAACATATAGCCAGTAGTGGTTCTAATGTGTATGGCGCCATGTTAGCCATGTCTAACTGTCACATGTGCAGCTCTGCTACAATGTAGATAATAATTAGCACACATACTTTTTGGATGAAATAACACGTGTAACAACTTTACTTAATCTCCCTCACTTCATGTTTGCTCTTGATTCTTGAATGGATTTTTTTTTTTGCCAAGCTTGTTGCAATGCATTGTGGGATTGCCTTATTTATGACGTATGTGCAGAAATGCTGCTTTGGTGGGAAACTCATTAGATTTAGACAAACATTACATTTCTTTATAATCTGTCACTGAAATAAGGTGAAATATAGAAAAATAGCTAATTTTAGGACTATTCTGAACATTTTTGGTTAAATGAGGAAAAATCGAATAGGCCTATTCTTTCAGTAACTTAATGTGTTACTAATATATTACCATTTTGAGATTATTCAAATAGATAATCAGCCTTGTTGGCAAATTAACAGATTTAGTTCAGGCTACAATGTTAAATTGAATTCTTGGCCACAGTTTTTCTGAATATAAATCTGTTATTGACGTGCTGAGCAAACGATTGTAAAATCTGAATGTGAATCTAAGTTTGAATCTGTATTACTAATTGTCTTACAGTTAAAATATTCAAATATTTATTTTGACAGGTTCTTGTACGGAATGCAAAAAGGT